ATAAAAAAGAACTTTTTTTAAAAATAAACAAAATATAAAACTACCAGTAATAAATATAATAGGACAAGGCCGAGATCAAGCAAATTTTGATGACCCAAAGATATATTTATAATAATTGTAACTTTTAAGTACTTAATCATAACTGTTTCACCCACACCCCATCTAACCCCCATAACTTTTTATGGGGGTGAGACCGCCACGAACTTTTTGTGGTACAGTGGTGGGGGAGACCTCCTCTTTCGATCCCATCCACCTCCACCTCCTTTTGTATTTTAGAAATCGTTTTGTACATCCCTTCGGAAATGTAATTAATAAATATGCCATTACAATCTCATGTATAAACGCAATATCTATAGCGTCATCTCTCTGTATGTTTGCAAAAGTTATCGACAATTGAATTCAACGGTTGAAAAGCAAGTCATAGGCCACACGATAATTAAATGCGATCGATTCATTGGAAAGTACACATTCATTTTGTGTACACAATGCAACCAACAATATAAAGAACGATAATTTTAAAAAGAAATTAAATCCGCAACAGTTGCACAAATGTAACTAATAAAATTCAGAAATGGTTTACATAACTTAAATAAGAACAATACAATAGTCGCATTAAAATGAAAGGTTTATGCAGCAACTACTTTTTGAGAATTAAATATTCGTATTCCAATTTCTGCATAATATGCGTACAGTAAGTGAAATGTTAAATCTAACTGACTTTCCAACATAGGTATTATTACAAAAGTCAAAGACAAGTTAGGGATAAAAATGATAATGCTATCGGAAAAACGCCTACATTTTACTTTAACTGTACATGAATTCTTTATATTAGAGTAAACCATCATCATACAACGAAACGTAACATGCGATCTATTGTATCATGTAGAAGAACGTCACTGAAAAAACGGTGTGTATGTATTATGTTTACAATAATAAAATATTGTTTATTCATAATTTCACATTGATACATAAACTTTATACATTTTTTGGCAGTTATAGACAGTTTTTGTATCTTAATTTTTTGTTATTTCTGTAACTTTTAAATACATTAGAAATAAAACACTAATTATTGTTTGTTAAAAAAAAAAAAGTTATAATGGAACTTCACAAAGAATCAAAGTATATTAAAGTTCATGTACCCTTTGGGAAAGGAAAACAATATATATGATGTATAATATGTACCTTAGGCGTTATCATCATCATAAGGTCGTCAGTCTTAAAACTGATTGGACAGGCACCTCCACTCTTTTCTTTCCTGAGTTAATCTTCGCATTTCCCTAAAACTAGAACATCCCACATCCTTAACTATTTGTGAACAGGAATCTAATCTAGGTCTATCTCTACTCCTCGTAACTTCTGTTTCTGCCTGTAATATGTCTTTGATTAGCCCTTCAAGCCTGAGAAGGTGTCCTACTAACCTATCTCGCCTATTTTTTATTGACTTCCATAGAGTCCTCTGCTCACCTATTCTTTCTAATACCTCTTCATTTCTAACCTTCTCTATCCACGGCCAAAGCGCAATACATTAAACTGTAGGGACTGTGACGCTGCTTATTCTGGTCATAAAAAACAAAGTAAATGAACACAAAAGATGAATTAAGACGTATAGAGTTTATAACATTTCATTTCATAAAATCATGAATTGTAAGTACCAACTCTAAGCAAAGTAATATCTCTAATAATGTTAAAATGTAGGTTCCTTTTGCCTATTGTTCAATAATGACCCTTGGATTGATGTGATTGCAGATTGTCGGCAACTAAATTTGTCCAAGGCGTCAAACGGTTGCCGATTTATAATTAAAAGTTCCATCCTTTAATTAGACGTTTTAATCGTCAGCTGAATAATTCAGAAAGTCGGATTTTGAGAGGAGATAGCACTACAAATTATCATTATTTCATTATAAACCTGTACCTACGCCGAAACATAGATACCTACGTAGAATATTATTATTTAGTGAAGTTTATTTTACCCTTGTTAAATATTCATCATATTTTCTGTCCGTTCGCAAAATCACGTCGACAATTTAATTCCCGATGAAGGAATTAAAAAAATTAATTTATTTCAGGAATATGGAGGCACGTTGATGCGTAGGTTTATTCGTAATTTTCTATTCATCGAAGTTTTAATTAATTACAAAATTTGGAAATCGTATTTGCCGAATGAGAGATAAAAATCAAAAATCAGTGAAACAAATAAAAATTCATTCGTGTGTGTGTGTGTGTATAGTTAAGATGTTTTATTTTTTTTAGCAACTCTGTTGCATATTTATTCTGCTGGATGTTTTTAGTTGAAAGATTCGATAAACCTAGAGGCTCAACATTACTCTCTCTATGACATCAGTAGACTATGCATGTTCGTGAATATCACACGAAAAGTCAATATGAGATCATAGTAAATTTCTGAAAAGTTACAGAACTAATATCATTTGTACACAAAAGCATTGTATTACTAATGGGAAACTACCAATTTAAAGACTAGGCAAATTATGTAATTAATCGATTAAATTTCGATTACTGGCATTTTAAAAAAATAATCGATGTAATTAATAATTTAGGTTAATAAGTTGATGGCAAACTTTTTATAATAATGTTTTTTTGTTTTGTTGTGCATCATCTAATACATAAAGATTAAAAACACGAATCTTTCTGTAATTAGTAATAGCTTTATGTTTGGTTTCAATTATTCACAGCTTTGGGGGAATCTTTGGGAATGGAAAATCTGTTTGAGTGATTATTTGCTTGATAATCAATTTGGCTAATCGATTATTCCAATTAATTAAAATAATCGATTATCCGTTATCGGTTGCTAAATTTAATAACCGCCCAATTGAAATTATAGATCTTCTGCTTGAATAAAACATTTTATAAATATCAGTAGTGATAAATGCTTTATACATTTCGTACATGTATTCATATGTATATCTTTTTATGTATATATGTGCGAAACGATAAGGGGCTACACTTCACCCCTAAATGTTTTTAACCTAAATAAACCAATTAATATTCACAAAACCCTCGTCAGTTACGCCGCGAACCCTCAAGGGTGTCATCAGATTCGTTCGACACGAAATTAATTTCTATTCAAGTGATTGTTTGCGTCAATTTCGTCGTATTTCCGAAATGATAAACTGCGTTAATAGTAGAAAGCCCGCTGCTATCGAGAATTGAATTCGATCGCTTCCGAACATGAGGGTGACAATTATTAACGATTATGGATGTGTGGGGTGGGTGTAAAACAACCGATTTTATTTTCTTATCTCTCAAAAAATAGCCAGAATTTTGTATTTGCAATAAATTATTAATTTTGCATCTGTATTGTTGTAAACTTAACAATAATTACTGTAATTAATTCACTTACTTGTCATTAATATTATTTTATTTTGAAATTGTAATGAAGAGGTTTTTTTTTATTATTTTACTTTTAATAACTTAAAAATTGTTTTTTGTTATAAAAAAACGTTTTAAGTGTTTTTTTTCTGTATTCGTTTTGTACTAATGCACTTTATAATGTGCATGTTACTTATTTCTGAAATTATATCTAACAATTAAATTCCGGGAAAGTCCATCAATAATTTTACGATACCGATACTCATAAATTTACGTCATAGTATATTTGCATATTTGCTGCATATTCTTGCAGATTGCAAATTACGAATTAGATAACGGTGACCTTTTCAAAAATTCCCCTACACCACCCAAAAAGTTGCAGCTACATTTAACGTTTGCAATTAAAAACAAAAAAGAAAAGCAGAGAAATATCTACGCCGAAACGATATCAGTTTCATGTCTGACTTGTTTTCTGGCGTAAAAAAAATAAAAAATTAAATGTAACATATGTATGCAACTTACTATTTAACTTTGACAGATAACGCCCACATGGATTTAAACAACACGTTTGTAATCCGGCTTAATGAGTAAACAGTGCAATAACATAAGACAAACATTCGGTATATGACTTTCGTATATGTATACGACCGTCTTAACTGCTTATTGAATGCGAAATATTTGATAACTCACCGAAATTTCATGAAACGTGAGACACTTGACGATAGAAGTATACAGAACGCGCCATGTTTATTGATTTTGGTTAATGATATACTTTTGATACGCACCCTCTCGCGCAAGTTTCGTTTTGTTTTACGAACTTAATTAACGGCAGTGTTCTGCTCGAAACCGGAACTTTTCTGTCTCCCTCTTCTCCATTTTCACATATATATACTTCCTCTGGCTAGTAGATGGCAATACATTGCTTATACATGAATAAATTGGAAATATTCATTGGGAAAACAATGAAAAATTAATTTTTAGTGTATATGGTAATTATTCGGTACTTTAAGTTCATTTAATTCTGAGCAAATTGTTCTTTTTAGGATGTGGTTTGTTTACAAAATAGGACCAAGGTTTATCCCCCTGAATTTCCTCGCTACTTTTTTTTTCCTACATTCAAATAATGTCTGCAGGGACGTAGCTACTAGTGAGCCCGGGTGTATCAAGGCACATGCATTGAAATTCTGATGTTTTTATTTAATGATGCAAAATTATCTAATGTTACTTTGACCAAATCGAGAGCTTTCGCGATTTTTTCTCAGTGATCATGGTTACTAAATTACTTAGCCAAGAAAATTTTAAAATTCCTACTGGAGGGATAGTGAAAAATAGCATACGCACCTGGGGAGGAAATAAACGTGCGGTCTAAGACATTCTTTACTTTTCCTGGATAGGTCTGTAATAGAACCCAAAGGGTTTTGTTGTGGTTTTGTATTGTCATTTTTGTGTAATGACGTCGTGGTTTATAAGGAACTTAAATTAGTGCATGAGAAAAAAGCTGATATTCCTGAATGTCGTAGTCTGGGTAAATACTTTGGATAAAAATATTAAAGTTAAGCAAGCTTTCTTTCGTTTATTTAAATCGCACGTCCAAGTTGGGGTCTTGAATCTCGGACTCCCTATCTTGAGTCTCCTGATTCAGCCCAGACTTCTTTGAAAGCTGATGTGCGTATGGATTTTACTTTCAGAAACCATAATACTCTCAGGCTTATTGCAATAATGTTGCTGCATCGGCAATCAGTGAAACGTTTGAAAACGTTTAAAGTTCATGACTTCAGAAGAGCAGCAATATTACCAGAAAGAAAGTTTCAAGTTGGACATTGGACAAAGAAATTCGCGGGGTATTTAGAACTATATTGTGTGGTTAATAATCTTACTTACTATGGAACCACCAAAGGGGATACATTCTTACAAAGCATGATACGATTGAGATTATGTTTGCCACCTTTTTAGGCTTTACATAAAGTATTTCTCGACTACAGGGTTAAAAAAAAAGTACTCAGCATAAAAATAAAGTATTTTATTTTCTGTTTCTAAAAACATATTTTTTGTTACACCTAGCAGCCAGCAACAAATTGCTGTTGCTCTTAAATACATTAATAGCCTCTAAACATTGCAAACAAAGATTTAAGTAAACTAAAAGTTCATTTTTAATTAGTTTTAACGAAGCTTCATTCCTATCGTCCCACCACTTTGCGTTCATAACAGACAATATTCTTTCTGTAAATGCTGAAGTGGCCGGAACGGACAGCAAAAGTGACACTACTTTGAACAGATTTGGGAAATCAGGTTGTTCCGTAAATATAGCTTGCCATTTTTCTGTACAATATTATTGATGTAAAAATACTCCGAATTTAGAATATCATAAGGTCATTAGTCCTAAGATTGGTTGGACACGTACCTCCACTCTTTCCTATCCTGAGCTAAACTTCGCATTTCCCTAAAACTAGAACAGCCCACATCCTTAACTATTTGCGAAGAGTAATCTAATCTAAGCCTACCTCTACCCCTCCTAACTCCCGCTTCTGCCTCTAATATGTCTCTGACTAGACCTTCATGCCTGAGAAGGTGTCCTACCAACCTATCTCGCCTATTTTTTATTGACTTCCATAGAGTCCTCTGTTCTCCTATTCTTTCCAATACCTCTTCATTTCTAACCTTTTCTACCCACGATATCCTCATCATCCGCTTATAACACCACATTTCGAACGCTTCTAACCTTTTCTTTTCCGCCGCTCCCACTGTCCATGTTTCGCACCCGTACAATGCCGTGCTCCAAACATACACCTTTAACAACCTTTAGAATAATCGCTTACAAAATTACGATGTTTACTTAAGGCCTTAAATAAAGTATTTTTGCGTACTTTATGTGTCTTGTAAAATATAACGTACGCACAGTCGAAATAGAGTACAATACTTTATAATAAAGTACGGGTGGCAACCCTAATTAAGATCTCCTTTCGCAACTTTTAGATACGGGCTATTAGTTATCTTTAAAATTTTCTTCAAAGCAAAAACTTTTCTAGGATGGACCAGAAAGGAAACTTTTACAGGATGAACCAATTATACCCTATTCAATATTTTATTGCTGGATTTCTAACTATCTAACATATATTTCGTATAACACATACTGTCGCTGGAATAATCAAGGAATGGTTCCTAAATCCCTAATAAATTTTCTCTTTGTGTAATTTGCTAGGTAAAGGCTTTAATAATCTATTTGTGGATCGATTTTATTAAAATTTGACCCTAAGGGATGTTTTTTTAATAAAAAAAGGATGCGTAACCGATGGAAATGCAAATTCTACGTTCCGACTATTTTACATACATTTTGATGAATTTTAATGTGATTAAAAATTTGGGCTCTTTTTAAACAATAAAATGCTTTGAAATTGAAGCAAAATAATTAACATTTCCTTTCATTTTTATTATCCAGTAAATTCAGCTGTTGTTGATTAATTCTTTTCATGTGCTGTGTCATTATTTTTATTAACAATACATTAATCTAGTTGTAGACATTAAGACAGGTAAAACGTGTTACGAAATTTCGTTAATTATTGCATTTAATTGCGCTTAATTAAAAGCAGTTTTCGGGTGGAAGCGGGTCATCGATCATCGCAACTTAGCTGTATTGTTCTCGGCGCTTGTTCGTCATTTTCTTCTCGTGTTTGCGTAGCGTTTTCTTTATGGGAACGTTAGCAATTAAGCATCGCAATTAAACATTTTAATGTTTAGACAGTTTGTATTTCGCTCTGGTTTACCTATGTAGATATTCCACCTCGTCGTTGTATCCCAAACAATTACTGCAACAAATTATAATTTGCTGTATTTGCAAAACGTACAAATTTACATGGAATTGGCGTAAATGGAATTATGTTGCAACATTTAAAATGGTCTGTCTTGAGTTTTGTACTATTATGGCGATTGTATTGACAGTTTATAACACCGCATATTTTTAGGGTTCCGTACCTCGAAAGGAAAAAAGGAACCCTTATAGGAAAAACTCCGAAAATCGCAAATTTGTAGTTACATCACAAAAATAATTTTTTAATTGTAATAATGTATTTATACGTTTTGGGAACTGATTTTGGGGGGAAATTTAAAAAATACTCGGAAAATGTGGGAAAAATCTTCAAGACTCAATTGCGAACTATTTACATATCTGCAAGTTTGGATAGTACCCTCGGTGTACAAGTCCGACTCGCTCTTATTTGTTCTAACCAACCTTGGCACATGTAAATTTTGTTGTGAATTCGTTTGACCATAAATTAACTTGTAAAAGAACTCATATGCCTTTTTGACGTAATATGCTTACCTTGTATTAAAATATTTAGTAATATTAATGTGAAAATTCATTTTCAATTTTCCATCCATTACAAACTACCTCAGGTTAATGGAGGTGCGATAACAGAAACAAAAATTTTCCCTGATTAACCCGAGGTAGTTTGTAGTGGATCGAAAATTGGAAATGAATTTTCACATTAATATTTGATATTAACCACATAATTAAAAATATCATTAAATATTTAGCTTTATGTGATCGTCAACTGATAGTAATAAAACGTTCTATTTCCCTTGCTATGATGCTAGTATGACATCTTCCTTGGTGGTAAATTTCGTTTCAGGGCAATGGAATAATTTTTGAAAAGCCGCAGTATCTCTGTATGTATTATATTGAACTGCAGGACTATTTGGGTAGGTTTTAATCATTAGCTCAAGAGTGATAAAATTGACTGGTGCGATCGCAGATTTTTTAATGGTGTCCCAGCACGCGTTAAAAAAATAGCTGTACAAGTGCATGTGGACTGAAAAAAAAATTGGTCAAAATAGTTTTTTTATTGTACAAGTGGGCTGAAAAAAAATTCGAACTCATTTGAGTAGTTTTTATTTACAAAACATGGTGGTAAGACGAATGATGTTAACGTAGAAACAAGAAGTTTAGTAATTTACACTGATCTAAAGTGCTATTAGAGTTGTTATATAGATTAGATAATGATCTGGTTATCGATTCACCAGAAACAAGTACAAAGTTGTTCTTACATAAAGTTTCGTTTGCTTTCACATAAACCATATACTTACATTCCCGACAAAACGGTTTTACAAACGACCGATGTTTCGTAATTATTTTGGAAAGAAATGAAATTGAACCGCTTATTGTATTGATACGTATTCTGTAGCAAATTAATTCTACTATTGTATTTAAAAATTAATCTTATTTATGTAATTCTTACATACTGAGAAGAGGCAAACTAAAATAATATTGTAAATTGTACTTTGCAAGGACAAACTTTTCTAATTATTATCAATTGGTTTGTTTACGACTTATGTTAGTTTTGTGGGAAGTGGTATGATAAATAAACAAGACTTTAGAACCAGAAGCAAGTCAATTAAAATTAAATTAAACTTGAATGATGAAATTAAAATTAATTTTGCAAAAGTATACTAAACTAATATAATCCATTCGCTGATCCAAAATAGGATGCAATTTGTTATAATGCAGTTTGCCTTTTGTAAAACCAATACTTCAAAACAACAGTTAGTGCTATTTTTATTTAGTTTGAAATTGTACATCTAATTTATTTACAAATTATACCAATTCCTCCGGGGGTTTATTTATTTATTTATTTATTTAGAAACAGTTTCCGATCGTCTTCTATCGATTTTACCTATCTACATATAAATAGCGCCAATCACGGCAACAGCATCGCTTTATGGAACTAATTGTAAGTTTTGAATGCCTTTATTAAGTCTAATAGCATTTCGCATTGCAATTTCAGAACTAAAGTCCACGCAATGAATTGACAATTCTTTTTGTAGTGAATTAAAACTAAATCTTAATTTGATAATATTGCAGTTTTTGTTAATTAATTACAAGAAATTAGAAAATAGCTGCTTAAGGATTGTAATTTCTAATGAATAAAACGAAAGGAAAGAGGATTACTAAAAAACCGCCCTTAAGTCTGTTCCGAAACTGAAAAATTTAAGAGAAATGTAGGAGAAAGTATCTTAATAGTTTGTAAACAAAACAATAGTAGATAAAAGTTCGATATTCATGGTCCAGCATTGGTTCTCCTCCTTGACTAACAATAAGTCTTAGCATAGATGCAACGAAGGTTTCTACGCCTCTCACCCCTTTCCTAAGCATGCTGCCAAAGGAGCTGACGAAGCAGGGAACAAGAGACTTAATCTACGAAAGAAGAGACCCAATACTGAACTACAGATATAACGAAGTCCTCTTGGTACGATGCTGGTCGTCGAAGGCTTAGTCTTTTCAAGTTAATGTCAGTTCCACTTAGCGTTGCCTTTATCGTACATAACCAGTTTTAATTATTTAAAAATATAACTACGGTATCACACTTCTGTTATAACTGAACTGACACTAGATCACAGTTACTCTCGACCGAAGCCGAATTTTCGTTCTTGTAGACAGTGCTCGAAGGGTAATCGGCATGCCCTTCGTTCAATTGTCGCTATACCGTTATCTCCTGGATCTGCACCCTTTTCTTGACGGTTCCGGCGGGTGGATTGCTTGACGTTCGGAGCGGCGGTGGCGGTTTCTGGTGGTGGTGCCTTTTTAGGGTGCTTTGTTTCGACGCAGACAGGGAATTGTTCTGTTGAACGACAGTGTAACAGGGCGGCATGTCGTGCTTGTCTTTAGAACTGAGGATCGGGGACTGCGGCCGGGATGATCCGATAGGAGTGACTGGCCGATGAGACATGGGAATGCTTTCAGATGAAGGCGACGAACTCGATCTAAACTCGATAAAATACAATATTAAATAAATGCAGAATGTGTTATTGGCAGAGATTTCTATGAGCACCTACAATAACGATAAGCCAAGTGAAAAAGAATTGAGAAAAAAATTGAATCTCAGAAAAGTAGCAAATCACTTTGTTGGGAGATCAAAAACGTTACCAGGTTATCGTTATGGTTTGGATATCTAAAACTTTTTGTGTGATGGAATTTTCAGTTATTGTTGTGTTTTGTTCAAATAAATAGTGTTCGATTTCGTAAAGGAAACAGTATTATTCTGACAATTGGCAAAGGTTATTACATTAATGGTAATGAAATATGTACAAATTGTTTCAAGGAAATTTCTGACAAGTTGAAATTGTTCGGATTCCTCAGCGAAGACTGACAAACTATCTAAGGTTGAGTGAAGATTTGTTTGTAGATTTCAGACTGGATCAGAAATTTAACGCCTTAAAGCATTTGGGCCTAATTAGACTTCCGGATAGGGCTTCCCTTTGGGGTTCAGATAGAATAGCCTATTGGGGCCAGACAAGGCCAAAAAGGGTATTGTTGTTTGGTCCCTCATTAGGGCTACATACAATATGTCGTATTAGGAAAATCTATTAATCCAACCAAAATAAAAATAGGACCACAAAACCAATAAAATTGGAATAAACACTTCCTTTAATCTATTTTGCAATTATCTGGAAACTCAATAGAATTTCAGAGGTAGTGTTTGAGTAGGTTCGTGCACCATATTTGAAAGTAAAGGCCTCACCGTTCTTAAAAAAAGACTGAGATTTTAGTGTAATTATTAATCACCTTGGAGATCGACTATGCTTATTCCGTTTCCTATCTCGTTCCCTCTGGTAGTAAATTCCGGCAAAGATCAGCAAGTTGAGAACTAGCAGGAGACATCCAACTCCAACTGTCACCCCCAAGGCAGTGGTGTAACTGTAGTAATGCCTTGTGGCTAGATGTTGCAGTAATTCCGAATCGTCCTCTTCGCCGTCACCGTTGTCTCCCTTTTCGAGATCCTCGAGGGTCTGACTGCTTGTGGTCGTGTTCGGAATGCATTCAGTAACGTCCCCGGAGGACGAACGGACGTTGGTCATAGACGCGGGGTGCAGCAGGGGAGGCAAACGGGTAAAGGACTCGGCACGAACCGGCCCTGTAAGCAAAGACGTCAATGAATCAACTCTCGTGACATATTTGATAAGGGTGGATATTAGTTTCGGGAATTTATGGCCGAGAGGCGGACATCAACTGTTGAAGAACGGAAAAACTGGATGAGCTATAGATGCGGGTCGTATCGCATGCTCTTATTCCCTTATGGCCTCAAAAACTCCATCTTCAAATACAACAAAAACTTATACGTATTAGCTGCAAATCCGATTTATTAAACGTAGGGGCGTTATTGACAAAACAGTATTGTACGAAAATAAATCAAAATAAAACAAAAATTGTGGTATGCAAAGGAAGAAAAAGTAGGAAAAGAGCGAATATAAAGATAGGAGACGAAAAATTAGAAGAAGTGACTGATTTTAGGCATCTAGGAAGTCAGATAAGTCAAGAAGGAAGGAGTCACTTCTATGCTTGCGAATGGTTAATTAAGAAATTCGAAGAAGGTTGTTAAAGGTGTACGAGGGCGGTTCAATAAGTACCGAGGAGGTTTCTGAGGGAAATTGGTGTTGTCATCGTGTGCTGCCATCTATCAAACCACGCCAAAACTAATTTCGGACTAATTGATAGGTTAGTTTGGATTTGGCAGCCATTCGACTGAGACGTGTTTCGTTATTTTCGCTAAGATGGAAAAAGAGCAGTATCGTTCTGTAGCTCGCTTTTTGTTTTTGGATGGGAAAAAATGCGAGGAGATGAAAACAAAGTTGGATACTGTTTATGGAGACATTTCGTCATCTATGACCACAGTTAGATATTGCTTTAACGAATTTAAACGTGCGCAAAGATCCGTTTTTGATAGGAGCGACCAGGAAGCCTGGCAACGTTGTTGGGGAAATCATTTTACGGATTTTTTAGGAAAAGGAAGAACGATCACTGGACAATACTACAGTGAATTATTGGACCGCTTCGACAAAAAATTGAAGGAGACACGGACGCATTTGACGAAAAAGAGGGTGCGTTTTCAACACGATAACTCACCGGCAGGAGTTGTTGCCGCCAAAATGCATGAATTACGTTATGAATTTGCTGCCGCACACCCCGTACTCATTCGATTTGACTCCCTGCGACTTCATCTTGTTCCCTACCATGAAGAAATGACTAGCGAGAAAGAAATTTAACTCAAACGAGGAAGTCATCGCCGAGACAGGGGGGATTTTGGAGAATTCGACAAATCTTATTTTTTGGAGGGGTAAAAAAATGGCATGGTCGTTGGAAGAAGTGTATCTTTCTAAAAGGGGACTATGTTGAAAAATAAAAAAACAAAATTTAAAAAAAAAGGTGTCTTCATGTCTAACAGGGGTACTTATTGAACCGCCCTCGTATGTTTCGAGCCCGGTGCTGTACGGGTGCGAAAGATGGACGATGAGCGTGGCGGAAAAAAAAGGTTAGAAGCGTTCGAAATGTAATGATACAGGCGAGTGATGACGATACCGTGCATAGAGAAGGTTAGAAATGAGGATGTATTACAAAGAATAAGAGAACAGAGAAGTCAATAAGAAATAGGCGAGATAGATCGGTAGGACACCTTCTCAGGCACGAAGGTCTAGTCAGAGATGTATTAGAGGCAGAAACAGGAGTTTGAAGTGGTAGAGGTAGACCGAGATTAGATTACTGTTCGCAAATAGTTAAGGATGTGGGTTATTCTAGTTTTGGGAAAATGCGAAGATTAGCTCAGGATAGGAAAGAGTAGAGGTGCGTGTCCAACCAGGCGTTTTTGCTTTATAGTATTAGGTTTAATACTTCACAGTTATAATTTGAAGGTTTTTATCAAAACATGATTACTTATTTTTCACCCCAATAATCTTCTAATAAATAATTTTAAAATTCTTCTAAGAATTTGTCATTTTTTTAAAAACAGTAAAACATTATTATTTTTTCGTTGATGAAACTGCAGAGAAATCATCACGTCACTCCTGACAAATGAGAAAAAGCGGTTATGTGCTGTAAGTATTTTGGTTTGTTGATGAAATGGCTTGTACACATACTTACTCGTACATATGTGTTGTAAATGAACTTTCAACTTACCAGCATAGTAATGTGGCTCTCGTTCATGAAAGTGATGATGGCGCATGCTGACATCGTCGTCTCCGGGTTGATGTAGCTGGGGGATGAGGTTAAGCCATACCGCCATTTTATGTCCTCGATAGTGAGATTTCATTCTCGGTTTTAAAGCTGCAATAAAACAACTTTCATTACTGATACTTTAACAGGTACCCTACATAAAAAATCCACTTGCGTGGCGGAATAATAAAAAGGTTCTCCCTTTTATATACAGAGTGCAAAAATCTGTAGTAAATACATGTATGTTGCAGCTATACCTGTACATAGTCGTAACAATTTCTTAATATTAGGCATTACTAAAAGAAACTTGTCTTGACCAACCATAGGGGTGCATTAAGAACGAATTTTCCGAAAATAGTCGAGTCAGATGTCATTAGAAAAATATCGAAATTAAAAGAATGATGAATGTTCTTCGATGTAAAAATGACAAGATATAGATATAAGACAAGTATAAAAAAAGAAAGCTAGATAAATTTCAAGAAGGAAATAAAAGTATACAGAAAAAGATGAAAGAACTGGAGAAAGAGACAAGTGGAAAATTGCAGGAACTGGAAGAAAGATTGGATAAGCATAATGAAGGAAGCGATAAGGAGTGGTTTAAACCAAGACAGAAAAACAAAAGAAAAGAGTAAGGCGAATACAAAAGAAACAGGAAAAGAAATGAGGGTAAGAAAAAAAACTAAACCCATGTAAATTATTTGGAACATGGTTAGAGAAGAATTTAGAGAATAAAGAGTTATAAAAGAGAAGTTGGGATTGAAGGTGGAAGTAAAGAAAGTTAAAAATAAGATGTATGGGGCAAACATAAAGAAGAAGATGTACAGGTCTGACGAAGAAAGCTGGCGAGCGGTCGCGCAGGTACTTGCCCATTTATGACCTATTTGGGTAAGTCACTTGGAACCGATACACAAATAAGCTTTCAGTAGGCGTAAATTATAGTATTANTACATAAAGTATTTCTCGACTACAGGGTTAAAAAAAAAGTACTCAGCATAAAAATAAAGTATTTTATTTTCTGTTTCTAAAAACATATTTTTTGTTACACCTAGCAGCCAGCAACAAATTGCTGTTGCTCTTAAATACATTAATAGCCTCTAAACATTGCAAACAAAGATTTAAGTAAACTAAAAGTTCATTTTTAATTAGTTTTAATGAAGCTTTATTCCTGTCGTCGTCCCGCCACTTTGCGTTCATAACAGAGAATACTCTTTCTGTGATTGTTGAAGTGACCGGAACGGACAGCAAAAGTGACACTACTTTGAACAGATTTGGGAAATCAGGTTGTTCCGTAAATATGGCTTGCCATTTTTCTGTGCAATATTATTGATGTAAAAATACTCTGAATTTCGAATAATCGCTTACAAAATTACGATGTTTACTTAAGGCCTTAAATAAAGTATTTTTGCGTACTTTATGTG